GGTGTTTGGACACCCCTCTGTAAGGTTTTCCGCAAATATGTAAAAAAGGCGGCGGCAGCGCGGCTGTTTTCGACACTGCTATTAACACATCCTTTCCACACATTGTATCAACATGTCAGACCCAGGTCACCTCAGGTCAGGTCACCAGGTCAAGTCAAGGGACCCAATCTCCGAAAAAAATTAAACACCCGCCCTAGCAATATAGGGCAATATAACAAAATAGATACACCTATTGACCGATATCACTTTGAAACTGTCTGCATGTGACAAGGGTCACAAGATATAGGTATTAGGTACAAAGTGTATTGTCTCATATTTTTTTTTTATATTTGTGACTTAACCCTATTCCTGGCGGGCTCCGCCGGGACAAGAAACTGGCGGGGGGGGGGGGGGGCCGATTCGGCCCCCCCCTGAGATCTCGAGAACGAAGCAAGATAGCGACAAGCGGTAAACGGCATCGGATACGCACGGTCAAGATCTACAATTTTTACTAAGGTCATTTTCAGGTCAGGTCAAAGATGACGTCACAGGGGTCGAAAAAGTCCAAATGGCGGCGCTAGATATGGAGAGAGTTTTTCTCGAATAACTTTCGAATTAGTCAAGATAGGAACAAACTAAGGGCATCATCGTGATCCTCTCGTCAATCCGCATCGAATGATATATATGTTGACCTCGCAAGGTCAAGGTCAAAGGTTGACCTCAGGTCACGTGACCTCGAGGTCATCATGTATATCATTCGATGCGTCTTGACGAGCTGAACACAATGAGACCATCCACGCGTCTGTATCTTGTTCCTGTACGGAGTTATTGGCCAAAAACCTTTGGTGACCTTTGATGACGTCACATGACCTCACAGCTGCCCAACAGCAAAACAGACCTCAAGGTAGTGAAGGTTGATCGTATATGAAGTCATGTATGGTATATGGGGCCATTCCGACCCGTTTTAGTGGTAAAAACAGGGAGTTGATTTTTCCCCCATTGACTTATAATGGGGAGGTCGCGAAACTGACCTGACCTTAGGTCACCGATATCAAAATTCCGAGATATACAAATTGCACATACTGGTACCCTAACTAAAGCCTGAAGAGAAGAAATTGATCGGTCAAAAACTCTAGCTTTGGCGTGATTGCAAACTTTTCTGAGGTAGGGTCACTAAACCGCCTCTGGTGACATGACCTGAGGTCAGATCAACTCAAAATTTTCAGACATGTTGCGTAGAAGCCTTTTAGGAAAAGTCAGAAAATTTGAGCTTCCTAGCTCAACGCGTTTGGGAGAAATAACCAAAAAACCTCAGGGGGGGGGGCTCCTGAGGCCCCCCCCCCGCCAGGAATAGGGTTAAGGTAAGGTCAACTGTGTGACCTCTCCATTATAAGTCAATGGGAGAAAATACAACTCGTCCGGATTTGCGGCAAAATGATCCCAAACAACTAAAGCATGCAAAGAGTAGCACTGGCGGGTCATTTACGTCGACTGGTGTCGCAATGACTTGCGCATTGAGCATTATAGGTCACGTGACGTCATCAGAGGTCACCAACAGTCAGGTCACCAACAGAGGTCAACCAAAGGTACTACCTGTCAGACATAACACTGCACTTCAGGACTAAAACTGATAAAACATAGGAACCTAATAGAGGTTGGTAGCGGAGTAGCGGAGTTGCGGAGTTGCGAGTTGCGGTTTTACGATCTGCAAAATAGTTTCGGAGTTGCGATTGCGCTTTGGGTACCTTAGGTTGCGGAAGGTAGCGGTAGCGGTTTCCAAATTTCGGTAGCGATGCCCACCTCTGGGCCGAGTGACAACTGTCCGGGGCCACCGTCCGCCTTTATGTATGTACCCGGAAATGGGACCAGCCTCTCTCCATTAGGTCGGATTGGCCTCGGCAGGACCTCAGAGTATGGGTCAGGGGCACCCGCCGCCACACCGGGGTACAGGGACGGCACCAGCACGTGCCTGTGGCCAGTCGGGCGGACGATGTGGTATACCTGATACGCGACGTGCCGGGCGTCCCACACAGCCTCAGCGTTCGCCGTTCCCTGACGAGAGCAGGTGAGCACGTTCCGAAAGAGCGGCCACAAAAACAGCCTATACCTATAGCAGACGGGGCAGGGCAGTGAAACGCCTCACATTCAGACAGGACGATTATAATTAGTGCACAGGGCAAACGGCTCGCCGACGAATCGTTTTTTTTTCTAAGGCTTTCAAACTTAGGTCGCAATAAAAATTAGCGAGACACGTTATCAGAAGAAAATGCATTACGCTAAATGTGTCTGTCAGCAGCTTACTTACCGTTACGCGCTGGCCGGAGATGTATTGCGTAGATAGATAGAATATGTAGTACCTACCTACCGAGGTGATGAAAAGTCGTCGTGGAAACGGCTAATTATCGATATACCTATGCTTGTCGAAATTCGCGTCATTCAGCGAAATAGAACAAAATGAGCCTTGTGCTTTTAAATAACTTTTACTTAAATGCAGATTAATTTTAACCCTCGCCCGCACATGGGGGGGGTGGTTGCCACCCCCCCCAGGCAGTCTTTCTGCTCTGCACTCGACATTTTTAGAGCTAGAAGGCTGATTTTTCGTATAGCTGCTCGTCTATCCTTTCTTGATGTCCACTGAAAATTTCAAGTTTCTGTAATTTTTGGTTTCGGAGATATGACCTTGTTTTTCAGGTCATGTCATGACCCAAATGGCCAATTCTCAACATCTTGCGTTTGCCATGGGCCTTGTGAGCTTTTGACACCCTGATTTCGGCCTTTTTTTGCCAGTCTTACCTCCCACCTATCATGGAACATGTTGTTCGACGATGTACAGGGGTCAAGGTCAGGGTCAAGGTCAACCTAGGTCATCTAGGATAATTGCGTTTTAGGCAAGCTGAATTTACTTTTTGTGAAGTTTTTTGACTGCATTTTTGGTAAAAGCTTCTCAGATCATGATTTCATGTGATATGGACCCAAAAACAATCGGTGCACACATCAGTATACACACAGACACACACAGACATACAAACACATATAATTGACCTTGACCTAACTTGACCTGAAATGACCTCAGCAGCAAAATTCTGGTCGGATAGTGTGACAAAGAGGTTCTAGCTGGCTTGGCACCAGAAAACAGCATCGTCATCGGTATTTGATAAGCAGCGCACTTGATATCCAACGGTGACCCAAAACAGCAACATTTTTTAGTTTGACCTGACCTGGAAGGTCAATGACTGACCTGAGAAGGTAAAACTGGGTATCATTGGATTCGTCTCTTCCCAAAGAATCTTTTTGGTCTTTACTGCTAAGCTCTATCTCCAACAGGAACGAAATGGCGCGGGGGGGGTGGCAACCACCCCCCCCCCCCCATGTGCGTTCTAGGATGGGAAAATGGCATGTGCGGGCGAGGGTTAAACGACACAGTAAATTAACGTCACAGTACCAAACGATTGTAGACGAAGAATCGTGCCTGAATAAAAAAGTTCCGGCGACGTAGGTATGGCACAAGTACTGAATTTAAAGAGAAAATAACCTACATAAGAAAACCCTGTTTAGCACAAATTTACCTATTCAAAAATAAATTCAATTTAGATGAATCATTGGATATTTGTTTTGTTAGTTTTGTTTTCATTGCTTGTGCGTTAAAGATAATTCTAACGGGATGAGGGAGCTAACGCTAAATGCTTATGGGAGCCCAGGTTCGAGACGTTCTAAACGTACTCGTAGGTTCGAGTGGCTACGGCGCTCGATATCTCATATCTGATAGGTACTTTTGTCGATATTGGTCTACCTAGTTCATAGTTGGTCGAAGAAGTGAGACGGATCGCGTTTAGCTATGGTGCACGTTAGACGCAGTAGGGGAGAGCGGGGCCAGTTGAACCACTTTTTATATATTGACATGCACAGCGAGATCTAGTTGACATATCGAAAAATGCACAATGCCATGAAAAAATATGCTCTTTTGGCTTTATTTTAAGATATGTAAAATTATGTTTCAAACATATTTTGCTGCCAAACGCATGCTTATAAAACAGCTCTACGCCCGTTTCAAATGACCCCGATGCGAGGGTCAATTGAACCAGCCCATGGGGTCAATTGCACCTATCCTTAACAATGGGACGTTTTCCTCTTTAAGGCCACTTTCTTAAGGAGATATTTTGTCCGGTTTACTTTTCCAAATGCTACATTCAATAGGTCGTTGGAAAGCTAAAAGTGCAAAGTTCCTCATAATAGGTGACATAAAGCACATAGACTATGGTAAAATGGGCGGATGAGAAAAATGAGAAATATCTCAGGCTATAGTGTGCTTTCAAGCAAAAGGCTGGAGAAAAAGGGGTCAAAAATTGAGCTCTATTAAACTACTATTTCAGTTTAAAAGCTCATTTCAAAGGTGGACTATTTCCTTTAATATTTACAGCCCCTGAACAATAACCATTGCAAAGGTCACCGGGGTCCATTGAAACGGCCTGTGGCCCTGTTTCAACTGACCCTCAGAGAAGCGTTTCAATTGACCCCATCCGCTCCCGCCATCTCGCACGCGCCGTAAAGCACATGTCAAACGAGCTGGAGGGATGGCATCATGCTGAATGAAGGGCCAAATAAGGTGTTATTCCGGAGCCAGGAGTTCTTCTTTCAGCAAACAAAGGTATATGAGATATCACAAAATATTCATAAGAACGATTTCTCCCAAACGCCCCTCAAAAACACAAAAACAAGTGTCAAATCAAAATTACCGTCCGTTTGCCGCCCAAACGCCGTTGACAAAGGAAGTGGTCGAGCGCGGATGCGCAGTGGTGTCGGCAACGCCATATGTTGCATACTGTTGAAAATAAAGCCATGTTTCATCTGACCCCGTGTTTCAACTGGCCCCGCTCTCCCCTAGTTCTCCCGAGATCTTAAATTTCCTTATATTGAATGGTAGAGGTGGGTCTTGTCTTCTGACTTGAAGAATCTTGGGTCTGGTGAACAACCTATGATTGTCGTGGCCCGTGGGGTGAGGCTTCGTGACCTAATCGTTCGTTCAACAAATTCGAACTTATCGCAAAAAAAACGATGTAGATCTTTAACGATGCAGCCCTTTAAAAATGTTCGGAAGATTCCTGAAGCAAAATTCACGTGAGCCTCGGCCATAATAGATTTTAAGCAATTTTAGCGCCTGACCTCCGAAGGGAACGTTAGTTACGACCGAAACAATTTGGAAATAATGGTCTCGAAATATAAGATCGTTTTATCATTGTTCGTGCAAACCAATAATTATTGTCACAGCCCATTAAAACGGTTTAAGCGTTGAAATTTTTATGATAGGACTTGCACTTACGATGAACCCATCAAATTACTAAGCAAGCTGTTTACAAATCCTCAGAACCGTTTCAAGATTATCAAAAACGCTATTGTTGGACCTTTTATAATTGGCGCCGTGTTATCGTGACGAGTTCGTAAGTACCTATCATCAAGGCTGGTAGCCGACCAATTAGTTTCCAATATTTGCTTACCCCTTTTTGGCTCAGATGTTACGTGAACTAATTTTTTCATGTAGTCTTCATCGGGGATATTCTATCTGTCACATTCGCGTTATAAGTTATAATGTGTCATAGCTTGTACCGCCTATACCTTTCTTTAGGAGGCAATGTGAACAAAAAAGGAAAATTAACGATAATTCGAACATAAAGCAGGTACGTTTGCCATGCATATAGCATGTGCAGAACGTTCGCGACATTAATAAATAAGGGGTTTTAAAGCGATAAACGGAACATTCAGACATATAGGTACAATCATATATTAACAGTCAACATTAGGAATCAAACTTAAGTAAATAAGTGTCTATATGCTTACTATGAACAACAACATGATATCTAAGTGCTTATTTCATCCCAAGTTCGCCTCATTTACCGAACCACTGGCCGCGGCCCGTCTACCCCGCAGGCTGACAGGCGGCGCCGCGGGGGGTCGGCCGGCCCGACCCATGCCGGCGATGGCCGCCGATGTTGAGCTGTAACATGATCAGCCGGCTGTGGATCGTCATGACCATAGCAATCAACAACGCCTACATCGTCTCAGGTGAGGGAGCCTCGTATAGCAGACAAGACAGGCTTATAATGGGCTTGTTTACCTCATGCTTATTTGGCGAGATACCTAACCATTGACTGCAGGAGTCCCGTTATCCATACTTTGCCGTATACATTTTACCGATTGTCTGGCTGCCTTTTTGAAACAAGCTTCCCTGAAAAAAATATGTAGTTGTTCGTAACATCTAGCTAGGTAGGTATCGGTCGTCACGCTTAATTTATTTGTGTACTTGCGACAACTTGCAATACATCACTTTTGCCACTAATCGTATGCATTATCGTACCTTGTCCGCTCGAACGTTTCCCAGGCGAGCCCCGACGGTACCCACGGCGACTGCCGCGCTCCTGCGAGGCCCGCAACGTGGACAATCCGTGCCAGAACGGCGGCCGGTGTCACGTGACCGTGTCGGCCGGCGACGCGGCCGAGCCGGCTCTGGTCACGTGTCGCTGCACACCGGCGTGGACCGGTGTCACGTGTGAGCTGGAACGGGACCCGTGCACTGATGGTGAGTGGTCGAGTCGGGAGCTAATGTGAGCCCGTGTCTGACTGAATGTCTCCCTAAAACGGAAATACTTGCGCACTTTAAGACTCTTATCTTGGTCAAAATGTATAGCATTGTTCATTGCTGTCTGCTGGAAGGCAGGGGCATGTCCGTCTATCTATGATGTGTCCGTTTATCTAATGAGTTGACATTTGACGGTGACCGGTTGACGGTGTCTGTGACAGGCAGCGCCGTGTGCGGGCCGGGCTGGAGCTGTGTGCGCAACTCGTCCAACACGGCCGCCGGCTACGACTGCGGCTGCGGCGCCCGCTCCGGCTGGCAGCGGCTGGCCGACGGCCTGCCGCGCTGCGTCGATATCGACGAGTGCGCGCTGCTGGCGCCGGCCTGCTTCAACGGCGGCCAATGTCGGAACCGGGCCGGCTCATATGAGTGCCTCTGCAAACCAGGTCAGTCCACACAGGCAGACTTGCATACCGGCTCTGGGTGAACGAGAGGCTGCAGGATCTGGCACAGTTGACTGTACAATGGGTCGTTTTGAGACAGTCGGGGCATTCTGGGGTTGAACGGGTCGTACATAGGTTTGGTACTCGAACTTGGTCGAAATAGTTCGCAACAGCCTGTGAATCAATGGTTGGTCAGACTCAGAGTCGCTCGAGATTCTTTAGTGTCGGTCGCAAGTCGGCCGATCATTCGATCTTTGTACAAAAGAGGAACGCAAAAAATCAGCTATGGCAGTGTTAGTTTCTTGAAATAAGTTGCAGTCTCCACGTTAATTCGCTTTTTAGTGACAAGTCAGTGTAAAAGACTAGAGGAAACCTATTCAATTATTGAAGGCGTATGCGCTCCACAATTCACTGCCGCCATGCCGCACAACATAACAAAGCAAAAGTGCACGGTAGGCGAGAAGTCACCAGTCACCTAATCTTCTGTCATACGCAAACCATCGGGAGACTGCAACTCAGAACAAGAACATAGCATTGCTCCCTCTCGAATGCCAGATAGGGACTCAGTGCAATGGTAATTAGGGGTACGATTTATTTTCGAAATTATTGAGAGGGCGAGGGCTCAAAGTAGCCATGGTATTGAAAGCAGCTTTAACAATAAAGTAAAGCGACAGCGAATTCGAATTAGGAACGGTATCATCCTGGCGAAACAATAACGGGCGAGTTCCGTCACAAAACTGCATCGCATTGCACTTATGCCATACATACACTCAAGCATGGAATGCACTTTTCTTAAATATTTTAAGCTACCTTCTTACGATAATTTGCACCGTTCCGTCGGCCCCACGGCTGTGCCTGCCGTTCACCGTCTCCCCATCCGGCCCGGTGGCGCCCCCACCTCCTCTGACGGCCGCCCTGTGTCACCGCAGGTTTCTCCGGCCGCCGCTGTGAGCTGGGGGCGCCACCGTCAAGACTCTCGGCCGATGGCTGGCACGACTGGTCGACCTGGTCTCGCTGTGAAGGACCCTGTGGAGCCGGCCAGCAGAAACGCTTTCGGATCTGTGGCCGGAGACGCTCCGGCTGCCCCGGAGAGCCGGAGGAGAGCAGACCGTGCGTCCCACAGGACTGCCGGGACCGCCCAAACCAGTCCTGGTTGAACGATAATGATGAAAGCGGAGAAGACAGCAGCAAAGAGGAAGACGAAGGTGAAGAAGTAGAAGAGAGGTGGATGGAAGACGGTGAGAATCAGCCGCACCAGTCCAGTGCTTGGGGAAATCTAAAGACACGTAAGAAAAATGCAAGTAAGGGAAGTGCAGTGAAAACCCGTCATCGTCGTAAGCAAAAAAGGCTCTCCGACCTCGACGAAGCGACAGATTCCGACTCGAAGATGGAGAAATTGAGACAGTGGCGGGATACGAGAACTGAGGCTTCGATTGCGCGAAACTGGAAGCTGCTGCACTATCTGGGCTTTGAACCGGTCAGAAGGAAGCGGTCACTGGCGCAGATCGAGAGCTACGATGACCTAGAGCTAGCGCTAATGAAGGGCGATTCGAGGTCAGCCAGAGACTTAGGAGCTGAGGAAAAGAACCTAGAAGAAGTTATAAAATCATCAAGAGCTCATGAGAGACATCGGAGATCCCTCGGACCTTTGGAAAGCATTCGGGATACCAACTCTCATATGCATATTCATAAGCGTTCCACTGACATCTTAGGCACATACCACGAAAACATCTTAGGATCTCTAGAGGATGTTGGCATTAGCATGAGCATGCCCAGTTCCCAAGATTCGGCAGACGGAGGACGCGTTCAAACCGTCGCCAATCTGACGGTGGATGGCCACCGGGGCATCCTCCGGGTGGGTCAGAACGTGTCCTCTGCGGCAGAGGCCCTGACAGACTCATCACTCGAGGAGGCGCTCCGGCGTCCGGCGGCGGCCGTCCGAGCACTGGTCGGTCCTGTGGTGGGTCGAGCGCGGGCCGCTCTGCTGCGGCTGAGGCTGACTGAGGCAGCGCGGGCAGAGCGCCAGGAGGCAGCTCTGGCCGCGGCCGAGGCCGCCGAGAGGCAGCTCCGGCAGATCCAGGAGGAGGTCAGTCGACGGGCCGGCAAGCGCCGTGCAGCCGAGCGTCGGCTCTGGCAGTTGCTGGATGCTACCGAGTCGGTGGCCCGCAGAGGTGCCGAGACGCAGCGCGCCGCGCGCCTGCAGTTGGCTCGTAATGAGGCCGCCCAGGGGCGTCTGGATGCCGAGCGGCGCCGGCGGCGGCAGCTGCGACAGAACGAGGCAGCGGCGGCGGCGAACCACGCGGCCGTGCGCGCCAGTCTCCTGCGGCGCATACAGTCGGCACGCCAGCAGGCGGTGGCCCAGAGCCGCGCGCTGACAGAGGCCCGTCGACAGGCAGACAGCGCTGAGGAGAAGGCGCGGAAGGCGGCTGAGGTGCTGCGCCTGGAGCGGCTGGAGCTCCGCCGACTGGAGCAGGCCGAGCGGCAGAAACTGCTGGACCTGCAGCGGCACGGTGTTGAACGGTTAAAGGCCGCGGTCAGAGAGGCAGAGCACGAGGAGAGGCGAGCACAGGAGGCCGAGGACGAGAGGCAGCGGGCCGAGCACCAGGCCAGGCCCGAGCCGGAGCCGCCGCCAATGCCGCCCCAGCCGCCGATATACCGGGACGTCAAAACGGGCGTCCGTGTTCGAGTGTAGGACGACGTCCCAGCGCCAGATGAGGCCATCGAATACGTGAAATGGCCCATTGCCAAAGAGCAAGTTGAAGCAGCCGATCATTCCCACTTTGCTTGATCGGCGTGTGTTCGCAACCAATGTTCGGATAGGTCACAGATGCTTCTAATCGATTCTTGAACATGTTACCTACATGTGTGTGCGTTGTGTCGTGTTGTGAATTGTTTGCAGTGCAATACAATGGCGTTCTATTTTGGCCTTGTGGACATACGATTGGTGCCAGTCAACATTGACATTCACAAAACACACCAACATACAAAACGACAAAGGTTTGGTGACCGGTCCTGTGGGATGATCACACACCAAGGTCGCAGGCTCGATTACCAGTTCAGTCGTTCCGCCCGCCAGGGCAGGGTTTGCCAGTGCGGCGCTGTGAGGTGTTTTTCTCAGTCACCGCCGGCTGAGTCGTTCCCGTCCCCGTCCGGCAGGGTTCACCGGCCGGCGCTGTGGCGAGTCGGACGGCTCGGACGGCTGGACCAACTGGGGTCTCTGGTCACCGTGCAGCAGCCGCTGCGGCCCCGGCACTCGCAGTCGCACCAGGCGGAGACTGTGTGCCGACTGCCGGCCGCGCCAGCAGCGGCAGCGGCAGCCGTGCCGCGGCCCCTGCTGGGCGGGCAGACCTCGTCCGTACACCCAGCGACCGCCGACCGCCCGGCACCGACCGACTACCTCCCGCCCCGCGCCGAGCAGGGTGAAGAGAGAGCTCGGGAGTCAGAAGGGAACGGTAGGACAGCTGGCAGACGGAACACAGCCGGCGGACGACCGTGATAGTGTGGGTGGGAGTGATGTGATCCAAGTACAGCCAGCGGTGCCGGGGCAAGGGCTGGACCAACCGGGACCACCGATATCGGTGGAAGTATCAGAACAAGTGGGACAAGCGATACCAGATGGAGTATCAGAACAACTGCGACCAGTGATACCAGAAGTATCAGGACAGTTAGGACCAGCTATAGCAGGAGAATCAGAACAGCTGAGGCCAACGATACCAGAACCGTCAGAACAGTTGAGACCGGCGATATCAGTGGGAGTATCAGAGCAACTTGGACCGCTACCGGAGGGCGGACTGGACCAATTAGGGCCAGCAGCAACACAGCAAGACCCTGACCAGCCGGGGTCAAGGATACCAGGGGTTGTACCAGATCAGCTAGGACCAGTACTACCAGAGGGCAGCCTAAACAAGCAAGTGTCGATCACAGTCAACCACGGTGGATCCGACCAAGAGCCTGCATCCCCCGAAAGGAAAGCGCTGGACTACTTGGGACCGGTCCGAGCGGACGGTAACGTATCGAGCACAATATTCCCAGGAGGGTCCGATCGGACAGGGCACGAGACATCAAACCGCACTGAGGACGCGGACGAAGCGGCGGCACACCATATGGAGGACGCGGACGAGGTACTGGTGCGCGGACTGGAGGCGGACGGACGTCAGGTGGACAGCGAGGTGTCGGCGTTTGAACACATGGCCGATAAGATGGCAACATTCGCCCGCGATCTGGCCAGCCGCGCGGCCGCTACTGTGGGTCGACTCAGCCACCAGCACGAGGCGCTGCTGAGCAGCATCGCCAACAGTTCCACTGTGCAGAAGGCGCAGCATCGTGCCGAGGCGGCCCGCAGAGCCGCGGCCACCGCCAGGCGAGCCGCCGCGAACGAGACCATTCGTCTGGGGGAGCTGCAGCAGCAGCAGCGTAAGGTAGCGGCGGCGCTGAGAGCTGCGGAGACAGCCGCCGGGCAGTGGAGGAAGGTGGAGGCCAGGGCGCGCCACGCGGTCCGGAGCGCGGAGCGACAGCTGGAGAAGGAGCAGGAGCGGACCCGGGAGGTGGCGCTGCCGAGCCGAGCCGCCGGCCAGGAGCGCACCGAGGAGCGCCGCAGACTCCAGGCCACCGTCCAGCGGCTGGAGACGCTGCTGGAGCGACAGCGGAACATCACGGAGCGGCTGCGGCAGCGGGCGGCGGCGGCGAGCGCGCGCGCCGGCCGGGCCACCCGCCAGTCGGCGCTGGTGGCCGAGCGGCGGCGTCAGGTGCCCGTGGAGCAGGCGGCCGCCCGCCGCAGCTACGCCGAGCTGAATGAGCTGCGCCTGGCGGCGGCACGGCGCCGCGCGCACCAGGCGCTGCTGCGCGCTGACGCCAGCGTGGCGGATCAGCAGGAGCTGCTGGGCCGGGCAGCGGCAGCGGCCACCCAGCCGCCCCGGCAGCGCTGGCGGCCGCCGCTGCCGGAGCCGCCCGCTCCCGTGCTGCGGCTGAGAGTGGTCGTGCCTGAGGAGGAACAGGAGACCACCACACGACCCTCTATTCTACTGTAAGTGAGCAGCTTGTGCGGCTTGGCGTCGAGTATGTCCGAACAATCACCAGATGAACTGTGTAGCGTCAATTGATTGCATGCCACATCGACTGCACTGTGTTCCCAATATAATCGTTGCTTGTTTACGCTCGGTTATTCCCCTATCCAACGCCTATACACCATGATAATCCCCCCTACTCGCCTCGCACCACAAATACCAGAGAGGCAGTTCATTAAAAAGCGTTTATTTTATTAACAAGTTACGTTCGGTTTGATCTCTGTCTAGGCGTGGGAATGTTACTGTTGAGCGGCAGTCTGCTGGTGTTAGTAGAGCTGTGTAGCGCCGCCCGTCCTTCCTTCCCTCTGTCCAGCAGGCGCCCGGTCACATAGGGGACAGGCGGGCCCCAGTCGCCCGCCGTCCCGCTCAGCTTGTCAAGGCCTCGGCAGCGGCAGTGGGACGGCACGTCATCGGCCGTCCACAAAAACAAAACAATATCACCGAAAACCGAACACACGCACACACCGACCAACAGAAATAATTGGCACGTAAAAATGACATATGCATCCGTTCACTCGGACGGCGGTGGTCGGCCACCAGCGGCGCTCTGGCGACTCCATCACTGACCGGTCCGCACACACAGGAACTGAGATCGTCTCCTGGCCGGCAGCGCGCGGCTCCTTCTCCCTGACTTACGTCGGGTCGCACTCACTCACTCTCTCATTCGACTAGACTAGACGCGGCTCGCTGGCCGGCCGGCCGGGGTGGCGGTCCGGCGGCAGCGGCGACCAAGGCACGGAGTGACGCCCGGCCGCAGCTGCTATTGCAATCACAGATCAGAGGGGCCGGCCCGGGCTGGGCGGCCCGTGGTGGGCGCGCCGCCTCAGTCCAGCGCCTGCATTAGGATCTGCAGCTCGCGGAATGTCTGACCGATCTTGCCCTGCAGCGTTTGCCGTTTTAGCAGGAAGGCTCGGATCGAGAGCAGCTGGTCGTTGCAGCCCTTGCACTTGTTGTACCTGCAACGGAAAGACAGACGTTCAGGTGAGGTTGGGATGGAACACTGTGAAGCTAACAGACTATGACACTTTTCAGACATGTTGGAACAGATAACATGATCTACCATCGACAATCTTCCATAGACAACATGGTAGTTCATGTTATCCATGGCTGGAATAATTTGATGGAATAGATGGATTAGATAGCGAACAACAACCAGAAAAAACAGTACTCCGTGATATTTGCGCACACAACTAGAAATTGGCTCTCGGAAGCCTTATCTACAACAAAACTCGCACGATCAATTTACTCCTGAGACAGGGAAAGGCCAGGTTCATCCTCTCACCTCTCTTCTCGCGAGATATCCACGCCGTGGGTGTAGACAGGACTCTCGATGTTGGTTTTGATCATGTGCGCGAAGTTTTTGAGGATGAGTTTGAGCGAGCTGCACCCGATCGTCATATACATCTCGTACTTGGACTGAAGCATCTCCTGTATCGACGGCAGGAGGACCTGACAGATGTCAAGGTTCCATATGGACCTGGCGGGAGGCGGAAAGATAAGAGCGTTAAACAACCAGCACCATGATGACATACACCCAACATTCTTAACAGTCTGAATTGCCTCAAATATAGCTCCACAGTGCACACTTTCCTTACGTCCACAGGTCCTCACATTCGCCATTGAGCCCATGACTATTGCCCGTTTATTCAAAAGCTACACTATCAGCTACTTTGGACTGCCACAGCCATCGACCCTTCCTCCTTCCCGGGTGGAACCATCTCCCCGGCGGCGCCGTCTCACTCACGGTCGGAGGTTGAGCTGGCTCAGCAGATCCACACTGACGGAGAGGTCGTTACGCGCCACCACGTGCTCCAGCGCAGTCTTGGCGTCCTTGCTACACCAGAGCGAGTGAGCGATCTCCAGCTGCCTGTGGCGCCCCGTCAGCACCGACATCATCGAGTCGTGACCCTTGACGATGCTGGTGAACGCCTCGGCCTCGGAGACGGCCGACTGGGACGAATACTGGCCGCCGCCCATGCCCAGACGAGAGAACTTGTTCTGCGGACAGACAAGACAAGAGTGTGAGGGTGACTGATCTGCGATGTGAGGGTGAGCAGTGAGCACATTTGGGCTGGTCGCGCTCCGACCTAACCCACGGCAATAGCCAATCGCACTACGTCGTCACATAATCCACACAGGGCAGGTCCAAGACGTTAAATCCCTTCAAAAAGCAAGAAAAAATAATCACCCTGCGGCACATTGACCACCCACGTCATGCAGGGCGATGTCTGAAGGCTGTCCCAGTCTAGCCCTTTAACGATTGACCTCAACCGACAGCCGTCGTTGCGGACAGCCGCTGTCGTCGTTGCGGACAGGCGCGGGTTGTTTGTGGATCGACCCGGCCCGACTAGCACCGTCCGATAACTGGCCGCCGGTCGGCTCAGCCACGTGTAACTCGGCCAGCACCGGCCGGACAGACGGCGCTAACAAGGCCGTGGGGAGGGCCTGTCAGAACGACAACAAACAGACGGTACACACGGCTACACAGGGGGTGACTGACCGGTTACGGAAGATGATAAGATATGCACAGTTGACCACACAAAAATATCAAAATGCTCTGATAAAAAGCGACACGGTATCTAACTTATATTTGGCGTTCCGTTCAAAAGCAATCACCGTGCCAAGATGAATGGACGATTCCTTCATCGATTTCGAAATGAAAATGATTAAAACTCGTCCTAGATCATTCATCTATTTTACCAGACTTGGTGATCAGTAAGCCCAGCACGCAGCCTAAACCCCGCCGTGAACCCTCACCGGCAGGAAGTCGTCGATGTCCAGGCCGGACGGCTTGTCGCCGGTCATGGGCACGATGTTGGAGCCGTCCATGTCCGGGTCGAGGGCGGCGGCCGGCGGCGGCGGCGGGTGCGCGTGCCGCGTGTAGGAGCCGTACGGCGGCCGGGTGTCGGTGGGGACCGGCGCCAGTTCCGGGCCACCGCCGCGGATTATCACCGGGTCCGACGGACTGTGGCGCAGACCGGTCGGCGGAGGCCTGGCGACGGAGGGGAAGACATGGTTAGACAATGCACTGGGTAGGATGATTGACAGGCGGACAGAGGGGCGGACAGACGAATGAATGGATCGTTGGACGGACGGAAGAATGGAGAAAATCAACAGTGGGACGCCTATGACACCCGCATCAGCAGCAGCATCTACTGCAGCTGGAGCAGTGAGAACAGCACAACGCTCACCGAAGAAAATACACTACAAAAACACACTTCACATATCCACCTGTCCACACCCAAACAGCACCAGCGTCGGCTAGTCCAGAATAAGTTCGCTCACAGAACAGCACGGTGGAGGACGCAGCAGGAGGTAACTGCAGCAACAATTAGTTCTCAGAAACACTGCAGTGTTCCCAGACCAAAGCCGACCCTACACACCCCGCCGACCGCCCACCACCGACCACAGCCAGCGCGTCAGGTCACCTGGCGAGCGGCGGCGGTAGTGGCGGCTGGCCGGTCCGAGTGGGCACGGTCGATCCCCACTGCCCGCCGCGCGCCGAGGCGGCGGTCACACCTGACCAGTTCGGCGGCCGGCCCAATAGGACAGGCAATGCGGCACTGACACGGCACTGGCACAGGAGACTGATGCATGGACGGACGGCGGACATGGACCGTACACACCAACAACACACCAGGGTGGGGATGAAATTGGTTGCAAAGAAATCGACTGTTCCTCAGAAAAAACAACAACAATACAACAAATGGCCACTTAGCACTCAGCTCTGAACGCACTGATTTTCAATCATATGAAATCGCATGAAATATAGACGGGAATAGCCAATCAAACACGGATACTATACAGACATTGTATTTGTCACACAAGCAATGAAACCAGTCTGCCCCACAACCTCACCCCATAAAAGCGGCTTACATCTATACGACTCATCCTGCCTATCAACCAGGGCATCATCCTAAAACATCGATAACTTATCGGAACTCCAATTGACTAATATCGATCTTCACCAAGGAACCCAAAAGTCGTAACTTCAGACACCGACCACCCCCGGCCATTCCCCAAACCCTCTCGCGTGTGAGACTCGCATTTGACGGCCGGGCGTCACGCCGCCTCTACCGACAGGGCGTCAGCGACCATTAGGCGGCGGACGGGCTCGTTAGCGTTCCACGGATATTCTCCGGGACGATACGCCCCTATTCCAGCCGGCTCGGCCTCCATGGAGGTTGTGAGCCGTGACCTCAACGGGCTGTCACGTGCCGGCGGTAGTTTACAGCGTGGGAAATGTGAGGAATGCGCCTATCGCTGCTTTGGGAGTGAATGTTCGTTGCTTCGACGAAGCATAGAAAAAGGAGAGACAAACAGTGGGCTGGTAGGCAGGAAGTTAATACTGGAAGAAAATCAAATAATGCGAAATTACTAGTGTTTGAATCAGTTTACCTTCTATGGGAACTGACACTAAGGAACTCACGTTAGAAAGAACTCACGTGGTCGTTATCAGGCCCATGAATCTAACATAATAATTCGAACTGCGTTGTGCATATCCGGGAATAGCATTCATCGGCTCCCGTCATTACCACTCCACACCACACCCCGTAGACTGGCCGACTGATCGACCGACCAACTTATCAATTGACCGCCTGACTGACCTGTAGGGTTCAGTGGGGATGGGCACACTGTCGGGCCGGACGTCCGGGGTCGAGTGGTAGACCGCCTGCCGGCCGGCCAGCTGAGTCCGCACCGGGGACGGAGGTGTGTGGCCGAGCGGCGGACGACGCGCCGACGGCGGCGGGTCGGTGGGGCCCGCGGTCGGTGGCGACGGCGGGCCCGGCTCGGCCGGCGACCGCGACACCGGCGGCAGGTCTGCCGGAGGAGAGGGATGAACGTTAGCGTCGTCGCGTTGACAAGCACATCGCACAGAGCAGCAACACTGACAGATTACGGGTAGGGCACGGCTGAAGGGTACATGCAAGCTTACTTCACTGCAACGTACACATCGCTTTTCGACACATACTGACAATTCCGTCAAGTAAACGCAGGAGCGGAGGAGATTGGGAGAACAGATTACGAGCAGATAGGGCCACGCCACACAGATGATTACTCGGTCCTCACTTCTCTGCACACAGCAGCCGCCGCAGCACATTCCTCCGTTACGGACGCCGCCAGCGGGCCTCGCTCCGGCCGTTCGGCCGTTCGGCCGCGCGTGTTCAATAGTTACCTGAGGCGCGCGGTGCGCCCGGCCCGCTCGGCGTCGCCAGCCGGGCGCGGACGGGAGTGGACGGCGGCAGCGGCGGCAGGGACGGCGACGGGTCGGCGGGCGGCGCCGGCTCCGGCGGCGGGGTGCGGTTCACTGTAATACGGACACGAGCAGATGCAGACAGGCGGACAGAGAGCGAGCGAGAGGGGCGCAGAGACACGCGGACAGAGCACCGCATGCACCGGGCGGGCGGCAGGACAGAGTGGTGCGGACCCGGGGACTGTGGACCGAGGTACGGTGCAGTGCGGTGCTGAGACAGAAACCCGCCCGCCGAGGTGCTTTGGTGATAGGTCCACCCCCCCCCCCCCCCACAGGAATAGCGCAGGGCGCGGCCCTGAACAACACATGCGCGCTGTGCTAAACTAGCCCGAGCGCCTCTACGCTGCATAACAGCGCATGGGATCCAAATAGAACAATCTTAACATTCCATTCCTGCCATGATGGGAACGAAGAATGGGCACAGCTAACAGGGGACCAGCGAGGTGCACCCAAACACCGCGACATTCTAGTGCAGAACATGGTGACACATATTACCCCTCCTTCCCTCTGAACACACAAAACGCATCCATGTAGTGCCCAAACCTCTATTACCTAACCCAGGCCTTTCACCAGTGCGAATCCCCGGGTGCTAGTGACAAAGTAACAACGATTTAAGACAATGCCCGGTACTCACAAGCGCGGGTACGTGGCCTGAAGATCTCCGTGTAGTCGTGCTGATCCTTGACATCCACCACGGAGAGGAGGTCGTCCTCTGGGTCCGTGTTGACGTTGGTGTCAGACGACTCCTCCACCCGCATCGCCATGCTGCCAGACGGGAAGAAGTATGAAAACATGACACCGGGAATTTGAAACGCGATGAAAAGCGATATGATACACTGAAAATTTGGATAAACAGCGAATAGCTGTGCACGACATTGTTCTCGAAGCCGCGCACAATTCGTAAACTGTTGACGAATTAACACCTTTGCCACGGAGCAACTCCTAGCACCTGACAAAACACAACACGATCCTTCAAATAAAGAGGTCAAGGACATAACGCAACACAGTCTTTACCTGCGTCTACCACTCAGACTGCTAAAACGACGTCCCTCCTATCGCGATACAGCAGCCTACGTACACCAAGTTGACAACGGGCAAAATCAAGATAACTTTACTAATGGGCAAAACAACTCACTCGTTGCCGTTTCCATCTGGCGGTTTCTCCTTGATGAAGCTCTTGCGCACGTGTTGGTTGTGCCTGAAGACGGGCGGCGGTGCCGAGGCCGGCTCGGGCTGGATTTGTGGCCGGCCGAACGGCTGGACCTTCTTCAGGTCCACCATGTAGACGGAGACGTTGGACGAGTGGAACGCCGCGCCGATCTGAAGGAACACAAGACAGGAGGGTGTGAACAATGCAACTGTAACCAAACTTGTCCGTCTAATAATATTTATACAGTTACACCGCAAATAATACAAGACACTGACGAGTTGAACCACACTCACGAAACATTGCCACACCCACAAGCCAGGAACATGAAGGTTAATCCCTCTGACAGCGAGACAAATCCCGGCGACCAAGTTCTAACAAGTCACACGTCATCGTAATCGCCGGCAACACACCATGGCCAGGCAGGCGGAGTGGATGAGCGAGTCGTGTAGCAGGCTGGGCCGCCGGCCGGCACACTGGGCACACTGGCCGGGGGAGTGGCGGCGACGGCACCCGATCGGGGGCAGGGGCCGCAGCGGGGACAGGAGGCGCCGGCGGCGCTCGGCCATAACGTGGGCACCGAAAATTGACTAGCCACTTCACAAAGATCGGGCACTAGGAGTTCATCAAGGGGAGCTTGTATCTCAGACCGGACACAAGGTCCGAAAGTTCACGTCGTTGCAAAGAATGTCACAATTTTACTCCGGCCCGGCGCAAGACCTCTGGGGCCTCACACCGTCTGGCATTTCAGGGTAGGTGACATCTCACATACGTACGGTCGTCACTTAACACTGTCTCTCACACCGCTGACGAGAATCCACCTCACACCGACTACGTCCCATGGACAATGGACTGCGACTGCCCACCGCAACGCCGAGTGGCTGCCGTATACTCCCGTGGTGCGCGTGTATTGGCCGCAATCGTCCCATCTCTGGCTGAGTTATTAACACAGGAGGGCTAGCTGGCCGATGGATCCCGATACCGCCCTAACACTACACTGGCACGACACGATCAGGTGTACCATAAGGGGGCACTGCCGGCGGACAGATACACCTGTCCGTCAGATACACCTGCCCATGCATGAACAATGACACACAGCACACAGCACAAGGCAACACAAACAAGCACAACACGGAACAACACCAAACACAACCGGCGGGCCGCGACCCGCTCGGCGCGCCGCGGGTCGGGGCCCGCCTGGCAGGCCGCTGACGCCATCAATGCGTGGGTGACCGAGCGCCGCCGCGGGAGGTCCCCCGCCGTTCGGGGCGACTGAGGGGACGGCCCCCGCCGCTGAGCTAACCAGCCGACCATCGAAGGCATTATAAGGACGGTCTGCGCAGCTGCGCAAATACTCGGACTCAGGCAACACCTCATCAATCAGCTGCTCGCCCCGCCGTCTCTGACAGTGGGCGTGTCGACAGGGAACGATTCCCGAGCGGTGACCGTTAGGCGAGCCGGGCCTACGCTGTGAGTAGTGACACCCCATCTCCCAGACGGGCCGGCACCCCCCCCCCCCGCCCTCCCGGCTGGGGCTGGGTTTCCGGTGCCGGTTCGTACAGCGCCGGCCGTACATGCGTCCAGTGTTAAACATAACCAAATCACCTTACATGACCTTGTGTATATTGCATATTGCCCATCATATATTTCTTGTGCTCAGTGTGATATGATTTCCCACCTGACAACGATGCACGAGTTAACGATAGCTGTGCCCAGTCGTCGTATGTCATTTTTTTTTTTATATGCTTTAACGTTTCGGAGCTATCAATGTCTATCATCTCCGCTTTCTCGACGCATAGAGACAAAAGTATGCGGATGTACTTGCTCATCTCTCAAAATCAGTGTCATCTTGCCAAAAGTTAAGCCATAGCCCACATAGCTGTGCCCAGTCGTCGGGCTATGGCTTATGTGGGCTATGGCTTAACTTTTGTTTTATGTAAACTGTTCTCTCGCCACCCGCCGCCAGTCGAAGCGCCTTCCCCGTGCCCACAATGCCACCAGTAACTGGTACGCTCCGAAGCGATGGTGTTAACATCTCCGCAATTAATATCAACTCCATCACTGCCAACGAAAGGCTACAGGAGCTTCAAAGCTACGTTGACATTAACGATATTAGCATACTAGCACTATCTGAAACAAAACTTGACACCACTATACATTCCAGTCTTTACTCTCTGAAAGGTTTTCATGCACCATTACTAAAAAACAGGACAAGGATGGGCGGAGGAGTTGCAGTATATGTCAGAGACACACTACCTTTTTCGCAAATATCACATCTTGAGTGTGAGCTCTTTGAAACCCTATGGGTGAAAATCAAATTCCATAAAACGACGCTGCTGCTCTGCTCAGTTTACCTTCCACCGAACACCACTAGCGACCGACAATCTCAATTCCTAGATTACTTGTCTGACTGTGTCCTTGAAGCTAAACAGCATAGTCCCGATCTTCTGGTCCTCGTTGGCGATTTTAATGCTGGAAACTGCTGGCTGCCTAGTAATTCACCCAACCACTCCCCCATCACCACTTTCGAAAACAAACTGAAAAATATCACTGAAGCGTCAAACTTAACTCAAATTATTAACACAGCAACCCGCGTACAAGGGGACACCCACAACTTAAGAGATTTGATTTTTGTAGACCGAACCGAACTAATTAAATCTTCAGGAGTTTTACCGGCTTTCTCAAACATCGACCATTTCCCTCTACTTATTTCTTTGTCCCTTCAGAAAATCGACGCTGACCGACATGTAACAACAACCCGCTGGGACTACTCAAATACCAACGTTGACGGTTTCATTAATACACTGAGAAACATAGACTGGAGCGCCATAACAAATGCCGACACCGATGATGCAATTGAAATGTTAACAGAAGCCATCTTGCATACTGCAGTAGCTCACATACCAAAGAAAACCGTAAAGATCCGCAATCACAAACCGTGGCTAACAGCAGAGCTGAGGCGCGAAATGCGTAAACGAGACCGGTTATTCAAGCTTGCTCAACGTCACAACTCAGAAAGAGATTGGTCGATCTGGCGATCTCAGCGCAACCTTGTAACCAGCCTTAATAGAAAACTCAAAAATGAAACCATTAAACACAAAGTACATCTACTTGTCACTAGCAAGAAAACCCCTTACAAATACCACAAAATCCTGAAAAGCGTTACGGGGTTCAAGCAAAACTCCATTATGGCTCCTCTGATTGTCGAAAATGATCTTGTAAGTGACGACCACCGCAAGGCCGAGGCCCTCAATTCGTACTTTTGTTCCCAGACAGAAATAAACATTACAGATAAACACTTACAGCTCGTACGCGAATACAAATCTTCATATAACAGCACTCAGCACACCTTCCAGTTTTCTCCCATTACACCTCGAGATGTTTTGAAGACCATCAATGGGCTGGATTCGTCTAAAGCCACCGGCTCCGACGGCGTACCGGCGAAACTAATCAAAATGTCAGCGGCTTACATTGCTGAGCCTCTATCCAGAATTTTAAACAAATCAGTCCAAAAAGGCAGGTACCCAACTCAGTGGAAGAAAGCCACAGTTAAACCAATTTTTAAAGGGAAGGGCTCCCCATCTGAGGCTGCATCATATCGACCAATAAGCTTACTGCCGTGTCTATCGAAAATATTCGAAAAACTTATGTTCACTCAGATATATGAGCACATTCACAGTCATTCGCTCTTAACACAAAAACAAAGTGGTTATCGCCCTGGTCACAACACAGAGCTCCAGCTTGCTTATCTAACTCACAGGTTATATAGAGCCATGGACTCGGGTGAGGATTACACAATCATTTACCTGGATATATCAAGATACTTCGAAAAGATTTGGCATGAGGGGCTGCTAGCAAAATGTGATAAAGAATTTGGTATAAGAGGTGCACAACTTGATTGGCTAAGCTCTTATCTAAGTGACAGGAGACAAGTAGTCCAGCTAGGCCAAACTACGTCCACCCAGCGTGAGTTATCCGCAGGAGTGCCACAGGGATCCATCCTAGGCCCACTGCTGGCCATAATGTATCTAAATGGGCTCAGTAGCGTTACCAACAATGAAATGCTATTTTTGCGGATGACAGCTCCTTACATGCCAGTCACAATGTTAATAATTTTCATGAAGTTGAAAAATCACTGCAAATCGACTTAAATCGCATCAAACGCTATGGAGACGACTGGATAATAACATTTAATGCTACAAAAACAGTCCAACAAACGCTTAGTAACAAAAAAAACACACATTCCATGCCTGGAATTTGGCGGTTCACCAATTCCCATTCGCAATTCCCACAAACACCTTGGAGTAACAATCTCAACTGATCTGAGATTCAAGTCTCACGTCAACAACATCCTATCAAAATTTTACCGCACGATGAGTCCTCTCTTCCCAATAGCATCTCTACTTCCACGACAAATCTTACTTCAGATCTATCAAATGTATGTCCAGCCCCATCTCGACTACTGCGACTCAATATTTGATTGCCATCTGACAGCATTTGACAAGTCCAGACTAGAGAAAGCACAGAACAGGGCGGCACGCCTTATCACTGACACACCTCGAAGGACGTCTACAGCGGGCCTCCGGAAAGAGCTGGGCTGGACCTCACTAGTAGACAGACGTCGCGCCCACAAAGTGCAACTCTATCACAAGATAGCATTAGATGATCGTGTTCCGGACTTCATAAAAGACATCATACCCAAAACGAGAAACCTAGAGATGGAGAGAAATCTGCGATGCACACAGTCCACTCAACGCACCATCCCAGCAGTCCGCTCAGCTTCCTACGCGAGATCTATCATCCCAACAACAACAAGAATCTGGAACGAACTACCCAACGACGTACGAGCCGAACACAGCCAAAAATTCTTCAAAAAGAGGCTGTATGCATATGCCGGTATAAACATGTCACCTAGCTCCTACCTAAGCAAAGGTTCCAAAATTGGAAACCGGCTTCACACCCGACTCAGGCTTAATTCATCAGATCTTAAAGACCACAGATTCAAATTAGGGAAAAGTGATTCAGCCAAGTGCAGTTGTGGTGCTGCTACAGAAAACAACGAGCATTTCCTCCTAATCTGTCCACTCTTTCGCACAGAACGAGAAGAATTGTTCGAAAGGTTAACTGAAATTCTCAGTGAGAACTTTCAAAACATTCCTCGGAAAAAGAAAATAGAAACACTGCTAAATGGGCCTTCGCGAGTTATGAAGGTTACCCGCCATGACACCGCCATGGCCGTCCAGAGCTATATACTCAAAACGCGGAGATTTGCCTGCTAGAACTAGGAGCAGCACTTCCATTTCGGAACACAGAGCAGTGGCGCGAGTAGGGGCGGGGACAGGCGCTTCGGCCAAGGCAGGGTCGACTTCGCTATGTTAATATTGACATTTTGATTAAGATCAGTAGTGATTAGTACTAGTAGTGTTCGATTAGAAGTGTTATTGTCTGCTTTCTACGTGTTTCGAGCGGCGTCTCGTTTTAAGCGCCATAGCGCTTCTACGCCAATCGTAATGTTTCGACAAGTGTAAATATGGATGCTCAAATAAATCATCTCTCATCTCATCTCATCACAACCCATCAATCGTCACATAGGGCAAATACAGCACACAGCGTCAGCACACCACATCAAAATATAATCAAATTTCATGTCACAGCACCGCCACACTACATTTAAGCCCACGCACACTCTCCCACTACCAGTCCGGTCCCATCCGATCCACGTTTCTCACCAGCTGCGTCTGGGCCACGGCGATGTCGGCGATCTTGCCCCAGCCCATGGCGACCGTGTCGTGCGACCGGAACGGCTCCCAGCCGTACACCTTGAGCATGTCGTGGCAGCCGGCGAACACGCAGTCGCCATCCGCCGCGAACGCGATACACCTGTGGACGGGACGGGGTGGATAGCGCTGAGGGGTGGCTCTGGAGTGAATTTGTAGGGTGTCCAGTGAGTATGTGTGGAAATCTGACCAAGAGCGGACGGTGTTCCGTAGACGGACATGCCCACACGGTGGATGATACGTCCCGCTAATACAGCACTGGACATCGATAACAAATGATGCACTCAAAAGGTTCAAGCGTGTCCGTTAAAAATGTCCCGCGCCGTTCATATTCTCATTAGACTAGATTCCTTTTATTATGATTGGCCTACACATCATCACCTGGTTGACCCACATTCTCCTCCGATTGGTCCACACTCCCCTTCCCCTCACCTGATTGGTCCACACTCCTATTTTCCCTCACCTGATTGGTCCACACTTCCCCGTCCACTCACCTGATTGGTCCATGCTCTCTCCCGTCCCCTCACCTGATTGGTCCACACTCTCCGTCTGTGCTGGTGACCAGCTGGAAGTTCTCCAGGTCCCAGAGGTTGACCACGCGGTCGAAGCCGCCAGAGGCCACCAGGAACTCGTGTGGGTGAAACTCCACGTCTACCACCGGTCCAGTGTGCCGCACCAGCTCAGTCAGCATCTTACCGGCCCGCAGGTCCCATAGCTGGGGGCACAGGACGCAGCAGGGGTCAGTTAGGGGCATACAGGACGGAGTCTGATATCTGAGGATCAACTTTGGGCTAGTGGTGTACTTTTCTTGATCTAACACAGCCTAAATTAAGAGCGACACCGGCGGGTATACGACGGACAACGATACCACCGAATTGATTCGTACGGTCTCTTATTGGATGGAGATTCACTTGTCCATGTAACTGATTTTCGCTATTACAGAAGGGAACCGGAGTCATCAAATACTAGGCATCTAAAGCAGCAAAATATTTTACAACCGACACCAGAAACCCGTTGAATTGTAACATTACCCTAATCTTGCATCTAACTAGACACAAATCCTTGTCTGGCATAGCCCGACTATCACATTAAAGCACTCATGAGGTCACCATTACCACGACTAAGCGGCTATCGCTTCCATCACCTCCCATCACCAAACCCCGTCCCCAAATACACCCAGTCAGCGCGGTGGACAGCGAGGCCCCACACCGACGGCCGGTACAAGCGACATTATACAGCGGGCACGAGCAATCAGCAGCCGGCCGCAATCAGCGGGCGCACACAGGGCCGCACACGCCGCCCGGTACCGTGTGCATATTTTATAGGCTCTTAGGACGGACATGCAAGCTCGGGGACCGATGTAACAACGAATCGTGCCTATGGTCCCAGGTAACACGCCATGGGTTGACGCTGCCCCCTGTGGCAACCGGCAAATGATTAGTCGTCTATTCATGCGGAGAGCTCTGATCAATAACTGCTGTAGGCTTTCACGTTATTCCATCAATTCTTATTTTTGGACACCCGGCGGCGAGTGACACACGTAGCCACTGCGTGCTGGCGGCCCCCAAGCCGGCACCGACCCGACCCGACCACGTGTCCCTCCGTGTGTATGCGTGTGACTCAGCGTCCTCGGCGAAGTGTGTACGCTGCACTCAGCTCTGAGAACCGGCCCGCGGAAGAGCTGGACAAACACAGCGGGGGGAGAGTCGACCCGCAGCTGAGAGGGGCGCAGGGAATGGACCAGCTGGGAATCAGCATGAGCGAGAAAAATCCTTCTACAGGTCTTGTAGTCAAATAACCACACAGAGGACATAATAGAACGCGTAATTTTGTTCTACTACAGGCGCCCTTATTCTAGTCAGTTCGAAAATAGGCACTGAGGCCAGGGGGGGGGGGGGGGCACTTCGTGCACCAAGTAGACGCCAGGACAGTAGACAGTACCCTTCGTGGGCATCACCAATCCAGGAATGTTAATGGGCTCGTTAACATTAACCCTTATCGCCGCCGGGGCTCGGCAGGGATTCATCGCGCTCCCACGCAGCTAATGGACGAGCCGGGATAAAAACCATGTTCGTGATTGACTGGCGAACCCAGCAAAACCCGATATCGATGGAGGAGGGTTGATACCCTGGGGATGCCACAGTTTCGGGAAAACAATGCAAATGTGGTTAAGTTTTTCAATTCTTAATTAAATCTAATGATGAGCTTAGGCCACAATTACCAGGTCATCATATTACCATAGTGTAATAAATAACAAGTGAAGACACTTCTATTATTTTGTGTAATGCGTTTTCTTCCGTCGGAAGTGCTCTCTCAGAAAATCAACGATATCTGATGACAATTGATGACGTTTTCGTCATTGTAGTGCAAAAGTTTCATCCCTGTAGTGAAAACTTCTATCCCAAGAAACTACTATCCAAGCCTTTAGTTATGTAAGTGTTGGTTTTAACAGCTAATTCACCCTTATTTTCTACAAAACACTGAAAATAAATCCTTCTACACGCAACTTGAAATGAAATATCACTTAAACATAATGAGAAGACCAAAAACCTATTTTTACTACACATCTTTACAAGCTAAGAATGTCTTCTTTATGCTAGAATGGGTATAGCGTATGAACACAGGGACAGGCCCCACAGCTCGCAATACCTAAGAATTCATGTTCTCTTATCAGGCATATCGTTCGGAAGCTGTGTAAATGCCGACGCAGTGTTAAAATGGGCCAAACAGCTATTCATCAACTGGGCATTTCACCGGGCTGAAACGCATCGATGTCCCCTGATTTTGCATACTATAATGCATTCAATGGGAACAATGAACATGCGATGACTCTCATTCATTTCGCGCAATAAAAAGCATAGGTTCTCAAGTCAAAGTGAAGGAAAAGACCGATCAAAATGGCTCGTATAATACAGACTTTGTTTAAATACTCTACACTTTTAGGGGCTGGTACTGTTATGGTGTCCTCTATTTTCGAATATTTTCATACCGGTTCTGTCACATTGCATTCAGTTAGCGATCATACATGCAATAAAAACAGTGAGTTCCCGAGAGTAAAGTTACGGAATAGAGTGAATGCTGATACGATGTTCAGCATGTTGGAGCGCAGTTAGATCGAAGAGCACTTTCATCGGGCTGTGGCACATCGATGTCCTCTTATTTTGAATATTTTCACGCATTTTACAAGAAAATGCGATTATTTTCTTTCATTAAATGCAATAAGAAACATGGGTTCTCGAGTCTATGTCATTCATAGGACCGATCAAAATGGGTCATGTTTTAGAGACGTTGTCAAAATACCATACACTTTTTAGGAGTCGGTGGTCTTATGATGTCCTCTGTTTTTGAATATTTCCATACCGGTTCTGTCAAATTGCATTCAGTAAGCGACCATACATGCAATATAATAGTGGGTTCTCGAGAGTAACGTTATGGAATAGAGTGAATGCTGATACGATGTTCAGCATGTTGGAGCGCAGTTAGATCGAGTAGGACTTTCATCGGGCTGTGGCACATCGATGCCGTCTGATTTTGAATATTTTCACGCATTTTATAAAAAATGCTATTATTTTCTTTCATTAAATGCAATAAAAGCATGGGTTCTCGAGTCTATGTCATTCATAGGACCGATCAAAATGGGTCATGTTTTAGAGACGTTGTCAAAATACCCTACACTTTCTAGGAGCCGGTGGTCTTATGATGTCCTCTGTTTTTGAATATTTTCATACCGGTTCTGTCAAATTGCATTCAGTTAGCGATCATACATGCAATAAAAACAGTGGGTTCTCGAGAGTAAAGTTACGGAATAGAGTGAATGCTGATACGATGTTCAGCATGTTGGAGCGCAGCTAGATCGAGTAGGACATTCATCGGGCTGTGGCACATCGATGTCCTCTGATTTTGAATATTTTCACGCATTTAATAAGAAAATGCGATTATTTTCTTTCATTAAATGCAATAAAAAACATGGGTTCTCGAGTCTATGTCAATCAAAGGATCGATCAAAATGGGTTATGTTTTAGAGACGTTGTCAAAATACCCTACACTTTTTAGGAGCCGGTGGTGTTATGATGTCCTCTGTTTTTGAATATTTTCATACCGGTTCTGTCAAATTGCATTCAGTAAGCGACCATACGTGCAATAAAAACAGTGGGTTCTCGAGAGTAACGTTACGGAATAAGAGTGAATGCTGATACGATGTTCAGCATGTTAGAGCGCAGTTAGATCGAGTAGGACTTTCATCGGGCTGTGGCACATCGATGTCCTCTGAATTTGTGTGTACCAAGGCATTCTGTAAGAGACTGGGATTATTTACCTTCATTTAGTGGAATAAAAAACGTGGGTTTTCATGTCTAAGTCAATTAAAAAATCCATCATGACGGGGCATGGAAGACGATGATGTAGCCTGAGGATAACGTTCAACGATTGAGGGAGTGACGTTTTATGACGTTTTATTACGTCATACTGCAGCGTGAGTAGCTACATAGCCCACTTCCAGCTGAAGAAAAGTTGTTACATGAGTTTGCATTATATATTGGTGAAGTGTCTTCACTTGTTATTTATTACACTATGATATTACACCGACACACTAGCATAGTATACCAAGTGCTATGCCTCAAGGCTATCCAAGCCGACCCTTCACAAATCGTTCACCCGACCTTGACACAGTGCCTTCACACACCATCAGTAGACTCTCTGACCTTGGCAATGACCTTCAGACACCACCGGACAAAGCCTCCCCATTTAGATACTAGCCATCAGCAGCTGCTCTCTGTGGCGTGCCTACCCGAGTACTGACAAAAACTACCTGCATTAGTTATTGACCCCACCCTTCCAATATTCTATACACGCGAACCGTCGCGGCGGCTTGCGTTACCGGAGCACGGTCCATATCTACAGCGCGCGGCAGTGCGTATGTCAGTGACCCCAGGTTGACCTTGACACTGACCTTGACACCCCCGTCCTCCCCGGCCGAGGCGATCCACTGGCCGTCCGGCGAGAACTTGACGCTGTTGACCATCTGGTTGTGGCCCTTGTAGGTGAAGATGCAGCCCTTCCGTCGGATATCCCAAAGCTGACGGGCAGACCGGTTGACAAGTTAAAAACCGAGCAGAGTCAAAGACAAGTTCATGCCAATTAGTTTATGTTAATAATCGTCCGAGAAATGAGCACAGGGATGAGGGAATATATGTGGCGTATTTCAACTGAGGCTGTCAACGGAGAATCTTTCCAATCAGCATCACTTTCATCACTTCCAAAAGCCCAACATCCAAAGAACGTATTTTAATCGCAGCTACCAAGCTACACCCGATAAGAGCTGGAATTTGGGACGTACCTTGATGTTGGTGTCGAAACTGCCGGAGGCCAGGAAGTCGCCGTAAGGATGGAAGTCGATACAGCGGGTGTTGCTCTTGTGGCCGGTCAGGGTCCGTACTAGCCGCGCGGCCTCCAGGTCCCATATTTTGATGGCGCCCGAGCTGGAGCCCGCACAGACCAGCTCCTCTGTGTTCCCGAACCGTACACATTCCACGGAGGTGGTGTGGCCGCTCAGGCTCTGAAACAGAAGATTTTAGGACTAAAGTACGTATCGCTAAAGTACGTAGGACAAAAGTACGCATGCAAATGTTCGTACGCAAATATACGTAGGCGATAAAGTTCGTATGCCAAAAGTACGTACGCAAATGTTCGTACGCAAAAGTACGTATGCAAAAGTACGTAGTGCATAAAGTACGTATGTCAAAAGTACGTACGCAAATGTTCGTACGCAAAAGTACGCATGAAAAAGAACGTAGTGCATAAACTACGTATGCCAAAAGTACGTACGCAAATGTTCGTACGCAAAAGTACGTATGCAAAAGTACGTAGTGTAAAATGTACGTATGCCAAAAGTACGTACGCAAATGTTCGTACGCAAAAGTTCGTATGCAAAAGTACGTAGTGTATAAAGTACGTATGCCAAAAGTACGTACGCAAATGTTCGTATGCAAAAGTACGTAGTGTATAAAGTACGTATGCTAAAAGTACGTACGGTTCGTATGCCAAAGTACGTAGTGTATAAAGTACGTATGCTAGAAGTATGGTATAGTAGTGTAAGTCGAGCCACTTTTTCTTTATTGCTGCTCTGTTGCCATACTAACAGGGAACTCATGATAAATTCATATACCAAATAATATAGCTTTGTCCATTTCGCCCATTTACTCATCGAGAAATTTTGCTGTGCCTTGTAACAAATGCTCATTAAATAAAGAATAAGAAAGGTATTACACGTTGATCAACTTCACCCAAGGGTGGGGTACGTACTTAATACCCTACGTGCATTTGCTATACGTACTTTTGTCCGTGACGTACTTTTGTCCACACGTAGGGTAGACCGGGGCAAGTCGCCCCGCCGAGGTAAAACGCCTCACCGATGTTTCTGGGAACTGGTAGGGTTTTGGGGAAAGATCCTCTCTTCTGTTAACCCTCGCCGGACCTATTGGTTTTCTACATACGCGCCGGCCGAGGGGGGGGGGGGGGCGGGTACGACCCCCCCCCCTCGCCGTTTCGCCCCTGGTGGAGCTAGCGCGTCGCGGAAAAAACGAGCGTGTGCGCCGTTACGAGACGCAGAGATTGGTACCCGATTTTAAGGTCCTAGGTCAACCGGTGACCTCTGAGGTCAGGTCAAGTGCCCCAGGGTACGGTTCAGTTTTTGGCGAATAACTTCGCAAAAAACGGTCGCAGAGCCGCGATTTTGGCAGCATCGTGTTCGCCTCGCTCAGGCGCGTCGAATGATATACTTTTTGTCCGGGTCAGGTCACCTTGGGGTGTTGACCTCAGGTCAAGGTCAGGTCAGCGCCCCCAGGTCACGAAATTGGTCGAAAGAGGTCATGTCGCATATCATTCGATTCGGCAGGTCTTCCTGAGTCCATTGGTGGCTTTCTCGACTCGCTAGCTCAATTTGATCAAGAGTTATTGACGAAAAACTAATATGACCTTGATGACGTCATAAATGACGTCACGCAAGGTCAACATTGCAAAAGTGACGCATCTAACCTTGCAAGGAGTGCATCAAATCACGATTCTGCGTGCTTGAGATAGTTGGAGATCGTTCCCGGCGCCAGAATAGCAGTTTTCATTTTCCCCCATTGACTTATAATGGTGAGGTCACGAAAATGACCTGACCTCATATGACCTTTAGGAAAAATCCGAGATATACAAGTTGTTAGACTCATAATGGATACTAGATCCTGCAAGTTTCATTTCCCTGTGACATCTCCTCTGGCAGTGAGGGCGTTGCGAAGTTGCGACATCTGAAGACCGTGCAGAGGTTCACTTATGACGTCATAGGTCAGTGACCTGACCTGACCCAAAAATGCGGTTGGTGTCAAAAGATGTGGCTTGGATCAAAGGTCAGGTATGCCAAGTTTCAGCTCTCTATCGCCAGCGTGTTCGGAGCTATCGCGAAAAAACCCTATGGGGGGGGCGGCACCCGCCCCCCCCCTCGGCCGGCGAGGGTTAAATGTGCACTATATGATCATTATATGGGCAGACTGGAAAGAAATTGTGATAATTCTCTTGGTAGATATAGCCAAAAATGTGTTTGTTGAGTGATTTTTATGTTTGGTTGTCTGATTATACATAATCGCGTTCTTTTGTGGTCCACATCAGGTTAACAACTTTTATGTATTTTGAACAACTATTGTCTAACGCTTATGATGCCGGGTTGGTTCGTGTTAAATTATGTCTTGCTGGAGCGCAAGGCGTTGTTCGCTGACCGAACTACGTGATCGGGTAAAACGCCCCAGTAGGTCGCGGGGCAAAAAGCCCCGTGGGGCGTTTTACCTCATGTGTTGTTCGGACTACCCACTTCCTAATGTTCGGTTCGGTAGCTGGCGAACAAATTTCTATGCATTTATATGTATTTTTCTCAGCAACTGTATGGCAAAGGAAGTATATTGTTAACTGATTTGCATTGCAATAATTTATCAGTTGGCCTTATGAGGCAGGTGAAAAACCTGGTAATACCTACAATAGTGTCATAGCTGAACACTTGATAGGATGGAAGGTGTCACCTTCAGTGCCGTGCCTCCAGCGGTCTAACGGACCTCTAATATAAGATTTAGCCAACTACCATGTTCAATCTTTAATCTAGTGTATGGGGCTTCTTGCCTCAGGCCGTGGGGCGTTTTGCCCTGGGGTTGGGGCAAAATGCCCCATTTGCAGTTGCTTCACAAATCACTTCCTAGCTGGGAGTCCGATCATAAGTGAATGAATTTGAGGGGTGGAATTTAAAATCAAATGTCCAAAGAACACATTGAGCACAATTTTGGCCTTCCAGGTGATGTGAGACAAAAGAAGGTACCTATGTAGCAAAATAAATTATCTGGGGCGTTTTGCCCAAGGCTACCCTACTTTATACCCTACGTACATTTGCTATGCGTAGGCTTTTGTACGTGACGTACTTTTGTCCATACGTACTTTATACCCTACGTACGTTCTTCTGCGATACGTACTTTTGTCCGTGACGTACTTTTGCCCATACGTACTTTTTACCCTACGTACATTAGCTATACGTACTTTTGTCCGTGACGTACTTTTGTCCATACGTACTTTATACCCTACGTACTTCTGCAATGCGTACTTTTGTCCCTGACGTACTTTTGTCCATACGAACTTTATACAGTACGTACTTCTGCGATACGTACTTTTGTCCCTGACGTACTTTTGTCCATACGTACTTTATACTGTGCGTACTTCTGCGATACGAACTTTTGTCCTTGACGTACTTTTGTCCATACGTACTTTATATTGTACGTACTTCTGCGATACGTACTTTTATCCCTGACGTACTTTTGTCCGTACGTACTTTTTACTGTACGTACTTCTGCGATACGTACTTTAATCCTACGTACTTTTGCTTACGTACTTTTGTCCTACGTACTTTAGCGATACGTACTTTTGTCCGTAACCCGAAACAGAAGGCAGTGATTCGTCAGTACACGCCAGGTGGCAGTAGAAGCGCGAGTAGGTGGCAGCACGGTTGAAGAATGGGGCAAGGTAGAGGCGGATGGCATTACCGCTTCCCATGTCTTTTCTCGGGGAAAATTGCGAGAAAAATATCGGTGGTTTAGCGCAGGAAATCTGTTTCTCAAGTACCTTTCCTGTTGCACATCTAACAGTTCTGTGGAACATTTGAGTAATTATCTCTGAGGAAACAAAACCCTAATTGATTGACCTTCATCACCGAGTAGGTAGGTAGGTAGGTCGTCGACCCGGATAAATTAAGGCAGGCCTGCAAATACAATCCAAATTCAGTCGACTATTTGCCAATGTTCGTCACCACAATGTTCGAAAACCACACATCATCCCGTACAGGCAGGTCTGTGACCGGTGTGATAATGCGTCACGCCCGTACGACTCCTTCACCGCCCCCCACAGCCCATCCCCCAATGTGACATCACCCTGCACAGCTGAGAACACGTGGGGAAAACCGGTCGACCGGCCAGGCTCGGCTCAAAGAAAGGATGCATGCTGTGCAATACTTTTTGTCGGCACAGACGCACAGAGAACAAACACATCTGAACAAGAAAAAACATAACCTGTAACGAAACATAACCTGTATGAGCCTGACGAAACATAACCTGTAATGTCCAATTCGGGCATATCATTTAGCCGTCCCCATACGCATACAGGCCATTCGAGAGCAGGTGCGCAGTTAGATCAGGGAGGAGGATAAATGATGAACGTTGTATAGATGAAACTCGATGACCTGAAATGTCTCCACGTGCCAAATACGTCGAGCTAATGCATTGTTTGGGGTCTCACTCTCATACCTGGCCTGACTCACACATTCATCGATCTAGGGCTCTGACACGTCATTCGAAAACCATTTATCATCATCAGTAAATCTCCATTTATAATCTGGTGGCAAGGAAAACGATTCAAAACCGTTTAGAGGCTGACACTAGCCTTCACGATCACTCTTTTTATGTGACACTCATCGACGTCTCAGTCCTTCGCGGAAACATTGAAATCGTGTGAGGAAGTTTCTTGGTCAGCGATCACGACATCGTCCTTGTGACACCGTCCAAGGCTCTCTGTTGCAACGCCCGTGGTCCGATATCTATCTCCAGATCTCCGCTAACAATCACAGAGCAGCCTAAGCCTGACGTGTACCGCATCATCAGAGATGATGATGATGAAGGAAAGCGAGGAAGAGAAGAGGAGAGGGAGCGAAGGAGAGAGGAGCGAGGAAAGGAGAGGAGAGAGGAAGAGAAAAGGCCGGAGCAACGCCTCAGACTGACCGGTCGCCGTCGGACAACAATGCTATCCGGGAGCGGTCAGCGCAGTCCACCGCCACGCCGACAGCGCGGCAGTGAAACACTGCCACAGTGCGGAATTGAGACACTGCCACGGACAATACGACAGTGAGGTAGGGTGACACAGAGAGCGCCGGTTGTCACGGCCTTTCTCCGCTGACCGATTGTTCGCAGATGGTCGGCACGGTGTGACTGTGACGCTGACTGACACGGCTAGTGACCGCAGGTCCGCGGAGACCATTCACCGCTCCTGATC